AAGGAGAGAGTGAGAGAATGAAGGCAAGAGAGAGAGAGAGAGAGAGAGTGAGACAAAGAGAGAGAGAGAGAGAGAGAGAGAGAGAGAGAGAGAGAGAGAGAGAGAGAGATTCAACAGGTCCCCTCGGACATCATTGCTAAGTCACACGACTACTACATGCCGCGTTAATGTCTACGACCTTAAAATTTGTCGAGAATTATAACTAAAATAGCATGATAACCTCCAGTCCTAGGGCCCATTGTAGGAAACAATATTTGGTCTTAATATTAGTCTCAACATGAAACAGACGCGTCGCGCAATCCCGCGATCCTGTCGTCCGCCCCGCGACCGCCTCGCTCCCTCGGCGTACCTGGCGTCGGCGAGCTTCTCGTACGCTTCCTCGCGGGCGACCTTAGCGCCCTCTAGCTGCGTGAGGGCCTGCTGCAGACGTTCGTCGCCACGGCGACCGCGATCCGTCAGCTCCGTCGTCTGCCGCGTGAGGTAGTCCTTGTCCTGCTTCAGCAGCGCCACCGACTGCTTCGCCGCTGCGACCTACGGGAAGGAAAATGAAATAAAAACATTAGATATGTAGAGGAGAGAGAAGAGAAGACAGAGAGAGAAGAGAGATTAGCTCTTTATTATTATTTCTAGACTTTTTATGAGGGCAGCCACATTCTGTGTATAATGATCAGTCGAGGACAACCCCCAACAGGTCACCTTTATAAACAGGTGTTTATTCTATCGATGTGCACCCACGGTATAACTACCGCCCAAGGAAAGTCCAAAAACAACTCCCCATAAAAATATCCTTTTACAGACACGCATCCGTTCTACAGATAACGTTCTAGGTTTTCGCGAACGTAGGTTTGACCAGTCAAAGATCATCGGTGGACGAAGCTTGAATTCATGGCGACGTTGCGAGGAATTCGTAGGAATCTAAACTCAGGATTATTTCTCAGCGTCCTCCTTCAGTCGATTTTTCTTAGTAGCTTAGAAGAAACTAAGAGTAGTCCTTCCGTATATTTTCCTGGTGGTTACCTCCTTCAGTAGATCGTCTCGCTCCGCCCGCGTCGTCTGCAGCGTGGCATCGAGGAGTGCCTGCCGCTTCTCCATCTCCCCGACCTGCCGCTCGAATCCGGCACGCTCGCTGAAACGACCCCAGCGACCTTATAAACGACCCCGGCGAGCTTATAAACGACCCCAGCGACCTTATAAACGACCCTGGCGAGCTTA